GCTGATTGGTAGAAATTAATCTAGGCTGATTCAAGGACCAATCACAGCTGACCTTGACATGGACAAATATGATTCGCAGACAAGTGGCTCGCATTTCCGAGAAACATAGAAAACGAGAAAGCAGAAGACTGCGTTTGTGTGCAAACAACCAATCAGGAAACCGCCTTCTTTCTGCGGGCAGAAGTCTATTAATGTATGTAAAATGCATATAAATACATGTTGGTTATCGTAATAAAACTGATCTGTTGCCAGCCTTGTCTTCTGTTGTTACATTTGGTGTCGCTGCCTCCGGAAAAATGAAGATCCCGTGGCCAGCTGCGTTTGAGGAGGGAGACATACGGAGCTTCCTGCGTGATTTCGATGCCATAGCTGAGCTGGTGGGTGTCAAGGAGCAGGCGGCGAAGGCAGTTGTTCTGGGGACGCTGTTGAGAGGCCGAGCGAAGGCGGCATATAACAGCGTAGACCGGTCAAACGGCACAGTGTCTTGGAAGAAATTGGTTGAAAATTTAGTGTCGGAGTTCGACAGCGCAACAGACAGGCAGCTAGCGATGCAGCAGTTCCGATCAACGAGGCTGGGACCTGATGGAGACCCGTTAGTATTGGCGGTGAAATTGACGAATTTACTTCGACGGGCGCTTCCCACGTTGGATAAAGAATCAGAAGAGCAGTTACTATCTTCCCAATTCATCGAGAGTGTACCAGACCACATTTCTCAGCAGTTAAAACTGGTGAACGCAACGCAACCGATGGATATTAGTGAACTAGCGAAGGTGACCAGACAGCTGCTGAGCACGACTGTAGCCGCTATAGAGCAGCCGAAACCAAATGAATATGAGGAGCAAATTGAAGCATTGCGGCGGGAAGTGGCGGCGTTAAAGTTGGGTAATAGAAAAAACCGATGTTTTGAATGCGGCAAGCCAGGACACTGGAGAAGAGACTGCCCAGAAAGACAGAAAAGGAAAAATTTCAGACGGTATAATGCTTGTTCTTTCTTTCGTATGAACCTAGACTTAGTGGGGGCGATTGAGAAAGGGGCTATGTATTCGAAGTTGCGAGTAAATGATCGAGAAGTAGTATGCTTAGTAGATACAGGAGCGGCCGTGTCGTTGATAGATAAGAATTTATGTAAGAGCGTTAGTCCGTGTTCGTTGACAGTACAAACAGTAGGTGGGCATGTGTTGCGTATAACGGGTAGGTCGAACTGTACGATTGTTGTTGGAGGGTGCGAGGTGACGTTTCCTTTCATTGTTGTGCCCGAACTACAGCGAACGATATTAGGAGCGGATTTTCTGCGGGAGATTGGTGCAATAATTGACACGCAAGCGAAAGTGGTGCTCACGAAATACGGGCGTATCAAAATGTATGAGACCAGCGAGATAGCAGCGGTGAACCTGTCGACGGTATACAACATGACAGATTTAATTAAGAAATACGATCATCTGTTCACTGGAGATGGCGATCCATACGGCTATTGCGACAAGGTGAATCATGAAATTCCGTTAACTAATCCAAAAGTAATGTCATTTACATCGCGAAGAATACCATGTCATCTGGAAGGCGAAGTGAAGCGGCAAGTGCAAGAGATGTTAAAAGACGATATTATTGAAGAAGCTGATAGCCTGTACAACTCTCCAGTGCTGTTAGTAAAGAAAGCGAATGGGAAGTATAGATTCTGTGTTGACTTTCGACAACTAAACAGTATGACAGAGTTAAAACCGTGTGCCATGCCAACAGTGGTGGAAACTTTAGACCGCCTACAAGGCGCGAATGTGTTTTCCGTTTTCGATCTTCGCTCAGGGTACTGGCAGATACCGATAAAACCAGGTGATAGAGATAAGACGGCATTCAGCGTAGGCCAGACACAATATCGATTTAAACGCATGCCATTTGGACTAGCAGGTGCACCGTTCACGTTCAGACGACTGATGACGCTATTACTTAAGAACTTGAAAAACGTTGAGGTGTACGGTGATGATCTCGTCATATATAGTCAAAACGAAAACGATCATGTGAACCATGTGGAAGCCGTGCTGCGACGCATCGAAGAGTTTGGACTGCGCGTCAACAAAACCAAGTCTCAGATAGCCAAAAAGAATGTAACTCTTCTGGGACATAAAGTGGGAAGTGGTGAGATTAAACCACTACCGGAGAAAATCTTGACGATAAAGACGATCCCGGCCCCAAATTCAAAGAGGAAATTGAGGCAATTCTTGGGTAGAGCGGCGTTTTATAGTCGATTCGTGAAGAACTTCAATGAGATAGCAGCCCTTCTATACAGGCTACTAGGTGAGCCGAAGTTTGTTTGGTCGGAAGAATCGCAGAGGACATTTGACAGAATTAAACACCTGTTCGACCACCAACAAATGACGCTAAAACTACCTGTACCTGGAAGCCAGTTTACAGTATGCACAGATGCCAGTGACTACGCCATAGGTGCGGTCCTAAGACAAGGTGATGGAATCGTTGAGTATGCCAGTCGAGTTTTAACACTCACAGAGAGAAAGTATTCAACGATAGAGAAAGAATGTTTAGCAATGGTATGGGCAGTCGACAAATGGCGACCTTATTTACTCGGCCGGCGGTTCCACATCGAAACTGACCATAAGCCGCTACAATTTTTGAAGACAGCGAGAGACCCACGGGGGAAATTGTCACGGTGGATGTTGCGTCTTCAGGAGTATGATTTTACGATCTCACACGTTCCTGGAAGTGAAAATGTCTTGGCAGATTTGTTATCGAGACCAGAAGACGAGCCTGAGTTGCCCGAGGTCGCTTACGGAGTGCATGCTGTAGAGCAAGACCCCCTAAAACTTGCACGCAAGCAAAGGTTGGATGATACGCTGAATACAGTGATACAGGTGATAACCAACGGGATAGAAGTAGATCAAGCTACGGCGAGTAAGGAGCTAACCACACTACTCAGACAGAGAGATCGACTAAGAGTGAATGCCTACGGGACTCTGACCTGGCGAGAGAACGACGGAAGCTGGCTGGCTATCATACCTCAGTCCTCGCGCCACAACATGATAGAAGAATGTCACCAGCTAGCACATACAGGCGTGGCCAGAACAACTGACCTCCTAAGACAAAGCATGTACTGGCCAGGTATGAGAGAAGACGTAGCAAGATACGTACTTGGATGTCCACGGTGCCAGCTAATGAAAGGCGACCGGTGCATACGACCACCGCTTCAGTCGATTCCAGTTACGGCGATAGGTGACTTGTGGTCCGTAGATGTTATGGGTCCATTTCCGCAGACATCTAATGGTAATCAGTACCTCCTGGTGATGACGGAACACGCGACACGATGGGTAGACGCCGTAGCGATCCCAGATCAACGTGCAAAGACCGTGACAGACGCAGTAGTTAAACACATCGTTGCAGACCACGGCGTACCAAAGACGATACTGACGGACCAAGGTCCCTGTTTCGAAAGTGAAGAATTTACTTCCCGTTTGCAACAGCTGGGCATCAAGAGGATCAGAACGACCCCATATCATCCACAGACGAATGGCCTAACGGAGAGAAACAACCGTACACTGAAGGAGTGGCTGGCCTCGAAGGGCGGTAACTGGGAAACGGAGCTTCCACTGATTTTACTGACGCATCGGGCTACCACTCAGGAAACAACGAAGAAGTCACCCTTTCAACTGATGTATGGTAGAAAACCACGATTACCGATACACAACGAGACCTGGCCCCTTCACCAAAAGTGGAGTACGACGAAATTAAAAGCAGAGCGGAAAGAGGCCGTCAAGAATGTAATACGGAAGCAGCGGAGTGATGTCGCGAAGTCTCAGATGAAAGAAAAGACGCGGTGCATCACCTTTGCAGTCGGGGACCAAGTGAAGTGTAGAGACAGGAGATATACAGTTGGAGGCGGGCCAGGTTCACGGAAACTCTTGCCAAAGTGGGAAGGACCATACACAATCACAAAAAGACGGGGTCAAGTATATACCATCCGAAGAGGTGACAAACAGAAACGAGTTAATGCCAGTCAGCTCCAACGATGGGTACAGTGGGACAAGCCGATCAGCAACAATCCTCAACTAGAGAATGTAGCACCAAGAAGGTCGGAACGCCTGCGTACGAAGCTATTTGACGGGGGGACGAGTGTGGTGAGAGCAAGCTGCTAGCCAATTGGTTGACATTGATCCACGCTGATTGGTAGAAATTAATCTAGGCTGATTCAAGGACCAATCACAGCTGACCTTGACATGGACAAATATGATTCGCAGACAAGTGGCTCGCATTTCCGAGAAACATAGAAAACGAGAAAGCAGAAGACTGCGTTTGTGTGCAAACAACCAATCAGGAAACCGCCTTCTTTCTGCGGGCAGAAGTCTATTAATGTATGTAAAATGCATATAAATACATGTTGGTTATCGTAATAAAACTGATCTGTTGCCAGCCTTGTCTTCTGTTGTTACACACAAACACACACACAAACAAAATGATTGTATATATAAATGCGATTGTACAGCTAAGTGAATGAATTAGCCGCCGAAAGGAGGCTCTTCGTTGAACTTTGTTGTTCTTATATCCTCTATGTTCACCTATAATCCTGTCTTCACTGTTTATTCTGCTAGGTTGTTAGTGTTGCCTTGTAAATCCTTCAATTTGTACAATACATGAGACATAGATCATCCAGTACAACATGTACTCACTTCCCAAGCACAGTCTGTTGCTTGATTCAATCCACAATTCGACAATCAAGAAGAGCATAATAAGTGACAGTGTATGCAGACTTATCTTACTCCCGTCTTCACTTCAAACGCTGCTTTCGGTGGAAGTGAAAGTCAGCATAGGGTACATGAAATGATAGTACTTCGTCAATTTTTTTAAAATTCTACTATATACAAGATAAAAAATTTTTATGTAACTTCAAAAGTAAATTTTAAAAAATTGCTCACAAAAGTATACAGAAAAAACTTTACTATGCCTTATGACAGTGTATTTACAAAAAAATTAATGCATGATGAAACAATCAACACACTAACCTCAATAATATGAACTCCAGCCAAGTGTATAGAACGACGAAATAAGGCATATTTAACATTGAGTTTTGTTGTATGCTCACGTCTGCTGTTCTGTGTAACTTGACTATTCAATATTGGAACAGAATAAAAGCCGACTTCTTGTTGTAAATATTGAGAGTATTTCATTAGGAAATTATGCGCTACACGACGTAACCAATTATTGAAATTTGTTACAGAAGTATGCCCATCGTTATGTTGCAGCTTTTCACTAATCAAATTATTGTCTTTGAGCAGAGTATCCGATGTAATTAGACTGGAGTCGTTCAGGTTGTTTGGGGCAGAGGAATTGTGTGACCAACTTAGCCAAGGTGATAGAAAACGATTCCCAGGCGAATTTGTGTCTGGCATTTGTTTCAATTTAAGGCTATTCAAAGATGATGTCATAAAGTTTGTTACGGAGTTAGGACTGGAATAATTTTTTCTTTTTTTTTAAAGTTAGAATACACCTATGCATAACTAATAAGTTTTGTGAATAAAACTCAAAAAGCAAAACTAAAATCAAAAGATTTAACTATTCGTATACAAAAATACAGTCCTCCTTCTGATTCAGATTCTTCAAAACTACAAGCGTAAATGAAAGTGTAATTAAATGTCCTATGGTAAATCAAGTATCATAACAGTGGTAACAAAATCTAGTTGAATGAATAGTGCGCATATCGAATGGACCTAATCAGTATAGAATGGTCTAAGTTATCACACCACATAGACTTGTAAATCAAGTAGACGATAACAAAAAGTTGAAGAAATGAAAATAATACAACTCAGCGTAGAAGAATGACAGGGAACAAGAGGAAAAAAAACATCAAATAAGGAAATGCAGCACTATTGTGGTGGTATGATACAGATAATGTGTTCCAACGGAATATTATTCCCACATATTCTCACAGTTAAATACTGCATTAGCGACAGAATACTATGTATATTAGAAAATTCTATTTCATGTCGTTTAACCAAAATCACACGCTCAGTGATTGGTTAAAGAATATAAACCATATATATATATATATATATATATATATATATATATATATATATATATATATATATAATTTCTAGAGGAGCATAGGGCTTCAGCCACAAGTCTCCATTGCGTTCGGTTCTCTGTTAACGTTTTCATCCGGCCCAACGCCTGCCTACACGCTTTCATTCTCTGCACATGACCTCCCCCATGTCGCCTTCGCACTGATGACCAACTCACCACTTCCCATTCGGGTTCCACTCGAGCAATGGCCCGGCGTGTGATGTCACTTGATGGTTTTCTCAGAGTATGGCCAATCCACCTCCATCTCTTCCTGAATGTTTTCTATACAACTGGTTCCCGCTGAGTTGGTTCGCTCCCAGAGATCCCTGTTGCTGATCTTTTCTGGCCGGCCATCTGACCTTGAGTATTGAGCGAAAGTCTGTAGTTTGTTCGAAGTGCCCTTCGTAACGTATCAAGTCCCTGATCCGTATAGTAGCACTGACTTCACATTGGAGTTGAAAATCCTCATCTTATTTTTCATGCTGAGTGCTGTTGATAGCCACACAGACTTGAGAAAAATGAAAGCTTGCCTTGTTTTCCCAATCCTCGCCTTGATATCCTCGTCAGTTCCACCTGTAGTTGGAACAATGCTTCTCGGGTTGATAGGTAAAGGAGGTTCCTTCTTTCAGATTTCTCCCATTTATGCTGATTGTTATCTGATGTTGTTGCTATTGGTGTTGGTGTTGGCCAGGAATCTTCATCACCACATGTTTTCTCTATCTTCACCTGAAGAAAGTCATATCTTCTCTGGATGCTTCTTCTGCCCACTTGTTGCTTTTCACTTGCATATCTTCCAGTTTGTGGGAAATCACACATGTATCATCGGCGAAATCCAGATCCTCAAAGTTTTTTGTGTGGGTCCATTTTATGCCTGTCTCCTCGTTGAACGGCCCACCGTCTGTCGCATTATCCAGTCTACCGCAATCAAAAAAAAAACATAGGAGATGTAGACAGCTTTGTCTTACTCCCGTTTTCACTCCAAAGGATTCCGTGAGTTTTCTGTTGCGGATTACTTGGCATGCACCATTATCGTACAGCTGTTGGATGAGGTGTATAACTGACGGCGGAACCCCGTAGTAACGAAATAGTTGCTAAATCACCTCTCGATCAACACCATCGAAGGCCTTTTCAAAGTCGATGAAGTTGAGATAGAGAGCTGACCGCCATTCTGAGCTCTGTTCAATGATGATCCGTATGGCTGCGATTTGACCGATGCATAAATTGTTCCTCCTGAATCCAGCCTGTTCCGGTCGAAGTCTTTCATCCAGGGTGTGTTTGATTCCCTCCAGGATGATGCAGCTTAGTATTTTGCTTGGGATGGGCAGGAGCATAATGCCGTCTCCTTTCTTTGGCAGTTTGAATAAGTAGTCTTTCCTTCAATCTGCAGGTACCTTGCCCTCTTTCCACACCTTTTCCAGCAGTGGTGTCATCAAGTTCGCTGATGTTTCTGGGTCCATTTTCAATGCTTCTGCTGGGATTCCGTCTGGTCCTACTGCTTTTCCGGTTTTTAGCATTTTTATTTCTGTTTTCGTCGGAGAGTTGATGTCTGCTATGTATCTATTATTATCATCATTGTATCAGTATCATCCTCATATTGAAGGCAAATGAGCAGAAAAATACTGATGTTCGACAGCTGCTGTAATAATGATTTGGCAAGCACACTTTTAAGTCGTAGTGTGATACGAAGAGACAAACTGACAGAAATGATTATTTCGCGAGAACTTACCAAATCAGAAAACTTGTGTCAATAGTGACAAGAGTAAAATCAGTTGTCATAATAGTATAATTAGTTTGTGCTACTGTAGGAATCTAAGGAAGAAACTATACTGCAGTGTGATATTTTCATCGAGCTGGTAATTTAGCCAGCGTCGGTGGCCCAGCGGTTAGGACGCTCGGTGACCATGCACATGGTCCGGGGTTCGATCCCCGGCCGACGCACTCCTTTACCTCGCTAAGCCAGTAGTGGGACTGGTAAAGCGGAAAGGTTGAGCATGAGGCTAGCAACCCGATCCTGTAAAAATAATCACCACTGCTACAGAAACTTCAAGCTTCTAGCTTGGAACCCTATGTTCCACTGGGAACGTGAAGGAAAAAAAAGGTAATCTAGCCATGTTACTTGTTCATTCTGAACAGGATGAATAGGTAGAGTTCGACTTCAAAAGTTGTAAATTTCTGCTCAATCTATGGAAGCTCGTAATCAGTGGTAGGGGTTTAGCACATAGGGGAAATTCAACACATTGTATTTGATCATAATCAAAGCAACATTCCCCGTGCCTGGTGGGTAAATATGACAAGAAAATATTGAGAGGAAAGGTATCACTGGCATTTTGGTAGTCAGAATAAATGCAGTGCTAAATAGATTGACGAAAGCAATTTGTTTGCATCTCCTACTCTACTCTTTGAAAATCACACTGAACTACATTCAATGGTAGCAGCCACTTAGCCTCCACAGAGCACTTACATAACTCCATGATGACAGGAAGTAAGGCTGCTTACAGCTTAAGAAATGTTCGAATATAACAAATACGTGGATTCCTTTAGATTCCTTGAAACGTTTTCAGCAGTCAATTCTGGTGGATGTTGAGAGTTCAGCAATCTGAGTAAAACTAAACAATCACCGTGCAACGACTGAGTGGCCTAGTCATCAGATTAGTGTGAATAAGAGAGAGAGAGAGGCAAAAGTGGAATCTGGCAACAATTCTAAACTGTTTTCACTTATCTGAGTCAACAGAAATTAAGGAGGTTGATATCAATGACAGCTTGAGAGGCGTACAGATTACTAAATAACAATCTCTAGCCTCCAGTGAATTCCTTTTACTCTTCAAGCAGCATTCTCTTTACTTTGGTGGACATGTTTTTTTTCTTCCATATTATAAAACAACAACTTCAATCCAGTATAGCAAAGCGATTAGCTGATAATCATCGACAGCATTCACCTTAAATCATTAACAAAAACATTTATGGCAATAATATAATGTAAATAGTGTCAACAACAAAATACACAACCCTTTTGTCCTTCTTAAAATGAAATTAATATATTTTTTTTTAACTTTATGACTCACTCAATTGCAGGACTATCATTTGAAGTCAATTTACACTGATCAGTTGTTTGTTCATCAGAACGGCAGAGATTATCAGAAACCCCAGTTTCCTTAAGTGGCGTTGAATCGGTAACACCTGAATTACTGTTAGCTACAGTAACGGTGGCTGTAGTGGTCGTGTTTGTAGTTGCAGTAGTAGTCGTAGGATTAGTATTAGTAGTAGTGGTAGTAGCAGCAGAACACGAAGAAGAATGAACAGACTGATTGACTGTTGTACTAAAATACAACTGAGCTGTTCTATTCATAGCATTCTCTTCCTCTTTCATCAACTGTACAACTTTCGAACGAGTACTAGGACAGAATAATATTGGTGTGCAAATAGTATGCAAATGACGGCAGGCTTGTTTGATAGCTGAATAGCGTTGCAATCGTTTCGAGACTTGTTCATTGGCTAAAATAGCTTCACTCTAATTTTAACAAAGTAAAAGAGTAGCATAAAATGATAATCAGATGATAAGGAAAGGTTGACACTTCAAAAATATTTGCATCAAACACTTGTTAATAAATGTGAAGTGTGTGTGAACGTCTGTAGTCAATTCTGATATCTTTCAATGATTAGATTTCAAGTGTTGGTTTGTAGGGATTTGGCTGATTGGTTACAGAATTTCATCATGAGCTGACATTGGTTAGAGAACCATTGGAAAACCAGGGAGTACTGGACAGCCAACTGTTTCGTCCACCTAGTTTGGGACTCTTCATCGGTACGCAGCCACCGGGGTTCGAACCCAGGACCTTCAGGTTACAAGGCGAGCTCGTAGACCATTCATCAGCCACTGGGACCCGATCCAATGGCCCATGAATTCTAACTTCTGCCAATTCACGATACAGCGCAACCGCTAGCCAATGTCTTCGACGAGTGTTTGTCCTCACACCCGACCTGCTGCACCCTACTGGTCACGACTTCTCACTAGATTTCACAGTGAGACTAAACACAAGGTATGTACGTATGTAATGTATGTATACATAAACAGTTATGTGTTTAAGTCCACTTACTCCGCAGAGATTTTTTATGTACCAGGCTATAACAGCCACACTTATCGTGTGAGGGCTGATGACACTACCCAGTTGCCGAGACTGAGTTAGGCAGGGCAAGGCTCGACACCACGGGACAGTTAAATTTCCACCGAACCTAACACCAAAAGCTATGTGCACGGAACATTGCAGAATACTACTGGATGTGATTGATCAACATTGCGTGGGTATATTTATTTATGTGTATGTGCATCACAACATGGCAACAACAAAAAAGGTGTTTTCTAAAAACTAACAAAACTTGGCATCTGGCTGGTGCTCAAAAATAAACGATATCAAGAGTTTAAGGCTAGAATCATAGAAAACCTAAGAAATCTTGGTGTAAAAACAGTAGTAGAAATTCGATGTTGAGAATTATATTGGCAGCTCCTGGGTTCGAATCCCAGTGGGTGCGTACTGCCGATGATTCCCAAACCAGCATGAAACAGCAGCTGTCCAGTACTCCCTGGTTTTCAGTGGTTCTCTAACTGATATCAATCCGTGATCAACTCGTAAAAAGTTTAACCATTATTTAAAAGCTGAACCTCTTATCATTACAACTGACGAACACAGTGATAGTAACAGAGACCAGCAGTATGTAAACTACAGGTATTTTAATACAGACTATGAATAGAAAAATGAAAAAAAAAGGGTGACTTACAGATCTAATGCTTGACTTAGAGTGTGTGAATTTCTGCCCAACATCTTTACTAAATGATAATGATTTTGCTGAATCTGAGTCCATAGTTGTGCTACAACACTTTGAATCTTCTTGCCAAGCTCTGAAAGGCAGACTGTACATTTCAATATACTGAGATTGAAGAACATCCGCTTCCATAAGTGTTGTCACTTGTTTGCCATATCGGTGTAAAATATCAATGTAAGGTGAGTGAGGATTCCCAGGAGGCAGAAGCAATGGGATGTTTCCGCAATCCTAAAGTTAAATAGTAATAAAGAGATTTTTTTATTTGAATGACACACAAAACATTCTTACGCTAAGTGACTACACAAGAATGCAGTTTTAGAAAATTTGCTCAGGTAGAAAATGGTAACTGATAACAAACAATAAAAAGAAGAAACAAAACGTCTACGACTGTTTAAACTCCACTATACGAGATGCCAATTAAAACAGAGTATAAACGAAGACTAAAAGCAAAAAATGACTTGGCAGTTATTCGATACACTATGGAATGTTACATATATATAACAAATTATTTAGTACGAAAACTAGTAGCAGTGTGTAAAAGCAGTTTTATCAGTCACTAGGAATGTGTTTACACACTTGAAATTTTCTCCGAATCACATCCCCGATGTTGTTTTAAGCAAATTAAAGTGTTGCAACTAACGAGACCACTCCCAAGACAATGAAATAGGAGTCAAAAGTAATTTTAGCGGAATTCCCTTTTGACGAAGTTTCATAGCAAAAAACCCATTTGATGAACAGATCATAGCATGGCGAGTCAAAAACTGAATTGTGGTAGGATTTTATTGCTTACCCAATCAAATAACGAGAAAATGTCGGTGACAATAGTGGCTTAGCCTACTACCTCAATGAAAAAAAAACTGAATGAAGCGTCATTCAAAACAACTAATTCCATTCCCATGCATTTGTCAACGTGTCAAGCGTGTTGTGTGTAGACTAATGATACTGTGGTGAGAGCTGGCTGCTAGCCAAAGTTGGTAGACAGTAATTGACGTCAATGTTTATGTCCCCAATATTGGTGGTGAGAAAATGAGAACAAAGGCTTTGCGTAGGCGAATACGGTTAGCATATGGATGATCTGACACAGCCACAAAGAGATGCCAGGTTAACTTTCTGTGAGAAACAACCAATCAAAAGACCGTATTTTCTACTAACAATAATCTACAATAATGTACATTAAAATCTATAAATATGTGTTGATTTTCCTTAATAAACGATCTGTTGTCTGGCCCTTGTCTTCTGTTGTTACAATATTACTTGGATGTCCAAATTATGATAGATCGAGTTGGTTTAGAACCCATGACATTATGGTTATAAATCAAGTCTGTAAGGTAATGAGTCACAGGTCCTCACATCAGCAGGCAATCTTTAGATCTGTGTTTCGAATCTACCCACGATACAGATATTTATTTATTTCAACTTCGTTAATCTCGTCACTGAATAAACAGCCAAAAAACGATCAAGATGTACACAAGCAAACAAGGGTCAAATTTCAAAATCATTCACTCATTTACTGGACACATTCTGATTTTCTCTTCTTCATTCTACGATGGAGATGAACTTCTTTGCTATCAATATAATCCTTTAGGGCGAAACATTTTCGACAATTGATCAAGTGAAACAGTTTATTGCAAACAATATCCAGATTCTTACTTAAAGCCTGCTTACTTGTATTAAAAACCCACGCAATGATTGAGTTAGGACAGATAACAACACAAATAGGTTATCAGTCTACTATTAGGCATGTCTGTAAGTATGGTCTAAGTGCAAATTACTGTTACAAGATTGCCAGGAGCCTCTACCTGCACTCACTGTGGCGGGTGAACCGCTTGAAGTTGTTGATAAGTTTGTGTACCTGGTTATTTGTGTGAGTGCTGGCGGAGGGGTGACGGATGAGATTTCCAACCGTATCATGAAGGCTAGGGTGCCATATATCGACTTGAGCCACCTCTGGCGCCGTTGCAACGTTAGCCTGGCTGTCAAAGGTCGGGTATACAATGCTTCGGTGCGGGCTGTCTTGCTCTACGCCTGTGAAATCTGGCCTCTCCGAGCTGAGGATGTGAGGCGACTCTGTGTGTTCGATCATCGCTGTCTCCGAAGGATTGCTTGCGTTCGATGGCATAATTACATGAGGAACTCTAAGGTTCGGTGGCGTGTGTTTGAACACAGTGGAGATCACCGTTCATTGAGTGTCATCATCTGGAAACACCGGCTCCGATGGCTTGGACATGTGCTGCGAATGTCATCCCAGAGGCTTCCGTACAGGTCTCTGTTCGCTAGCCCTGGGACAGGATGGAAAAGGTGGGGGTGGTCAGTCCATGACGTGGGATGAAGGATATCAACTTGATATGATTATGAGCAATAGTTTGTGCTCGAAACGTCATCAGTAAATATTACTGTATAACACTGTGAGACTCTATCAAAATAAAATTTACCCATAATGGAATTACACTCTACCACAGTGCCCAAGTTTTATTCTTATATCAATACTGTTTGAACTTGTTAAACATGACTGTTTTCCTTCCAGATGAAGTTCTTTATCCGTTTTCTACTTATATTTTTACTTTTAATCTATGTTGTTTTATCATTATTGTGTGGCGCATCTTTCTTGGTGCCATATTGTACCAAGTTTTTTCTGCGTTTAAATAAATAATTAGGCGTGTTAGAACAAAATAGACGTATTAGAAAGCGTTTCGTGCATGATTACTTGCAAAGTAGGTACTTACAATTATCCGTACACCTGAAAGGTACTTATGAAGTATTTTAAGTGTTTATACAGATAGGATAAAATGTATAAATACGTACAACGCAGTCGACAACACAACTCAACTACAATCTTCACATACCTGAAACAACCGAAGGAGATTATTAATACCCTTGTTCTCTGTTCTGCAGTTGCCTGTACCATGATTTGACACTGAATGAGTAGGAAATAGGGGTGAATTAAAGTGAGCAGGACTGCCAGAAACATTAGTATTATTAATACTACCGACAGCATCAGTAGATGATGCTGTAGCATGTCGTCTACGTGCAACCGAAACCACAGCTGACAGGAGGTTCATAGAACCACTTGATGTTGGAGTTTGGGCAGTGAATGAAGAGGCAACTGATGGCGAAGAAGGAAGATTATGCGAACTGGTTGGGTTTTGGCTGACTGTAGCAGGTGAAGAATCCGTACCGATATTCAACTCAGGGGGACAGTTATTTCGTATTAAATCTGTAGCACGAGCAGCACACGCACGAAATGATGGATTACTGATAGCGTGAAACAAACCCAATTTTTGAAACGAAAACGAGCAGAGTAGCTGTACAAGAAGAATAAACAAACTATGTGGATGAAAGCTGTTTTAAAATAACTTTGGATAATCAGTATAAAGAGTTTGATATTTTAAAAGACATTGAAGGATATTATCAGTGAGTGATCACGAGAAACAAATTTTTTTTTTCTTCCAGTTAAATATATCAGTTCCTTCAGCGTCAGGAAATTCGTGTAAAGAAATCTGGTTAAATGATTCACCATGAGTAAAGAATAATTAACTCTGTTTCCTTTCAGCAGGTTCCCACTACAAGAAAACATTTCTTACTTATTTCTTCAGAATCACACCAAGCAGGTTTCTATTTACTATGATTGTTAATACTTTCTTGGGGTTCTGATTAGCGTACCTATCACCATTTTATTATGCCCTCTGTACTCATTTTTAGTTGGCTCCATAAGTTTTCATTTCCTCTCTCACACACACACACGATTTCTCCTCCTGACGCATGGTGTCATTCAACAATCTCATCAGCGTATATCCGACCCATTTCGGTTTCCTTCTGCATATTTGTTGGGCGATAGGTTTCTGGAGGTCATTCGATGCCACAGTTCCCACCAGGCCACTCGAAATCATGTTATTTAGAATACCTTGAAATTAATGCTGCCTTTAACTTGCTAGGTTTGAAGGAAATCAATTTTCTGTTCATTGAATGACTGATGGGTTTTTACTATAAATTAGTCTGTGATTCTGTGCAGAAGATGTCGACTATAAAATGAAAACGATATGTGCCCTGCAGATATTAGTAACTGTACCACTTTGTATTCCAATAAATCCTATATTTGCCAACATGTAATTGTCAGATGGAGATTAATTCCAACTGCAGTGGCAACAAGTGAGCCACAAAAAACAACTTGCTTTATTCGTCTATCAAACATTCAGTGAATGTTGCAGGATCCATAGGTCTGAGTGTCAACAAAAACAACTTCACCTCCAAATGGTAACATAACTATCGTCGGTCAACATCATTTATCGCTGAACAGCCCTGTTCGCATTATTATATATATTTTTCTTTAAGCCTTTGTAAACAAGATTTTAGGGCGTTTTATGAAGTCGTTCGTTGTTTACATCACTTTGATCTGCCTAGTGAGCACCACTGACTGATATAAGTGGTCTCCAACTACCCATACGAACCAATCAGTGGTGTATACCGCCTGTCTTCGCATTCCTATTTGGGAAGTTGTATCAGCACCAACGGATTGATTGGTGACGGAATCTCAGCACGGATCCAAAAAGCTCGGGCTGCTTTCGCTAACTTACACCATCTCTGGCGTAGGCGTGACATCCGGCTATCAACCAAGGGATGTGTGTACTGCTCAGCAGTTCGCTCCGTCCTTCTCTATGGCTCTGAAACATGGCCAATACGAGTTGAAGGCATGAAAAGGTTGACTCTTTTCGATCATAGATGTCTACGATCTCTTTCTCACGTTAGGTGGTATAATAAGGTAAGTAATGTTGACGTTAGGTGTAGAGTGGTGGGTAAAGAGGGAAAATCAATCGCAGAGGCTATAAAGTTACATAGATTGAGATGGCTAGGCCACGTGCTGCGCATGCCTAACCATCGCCTCCCCCGACGGACGGGCATTACTAGCTGATATAGGTGCAGGTTGGAAAAGAGTAAGTGGTGGCCAAACAAAAACATGGCCTCATCAATCCATGAAATCCCTGACAGTTAAACTGATTCAGGTAGGGAGATGTGGAATTCCGGGTTGGGGCCCTCGGGACTCTAAGAATCAATGGCTGGAGACAATAGGTGACATGGCTCAAAATCGTTGTCAATGGCTTACGCAGATGTATTCAGTCTCTGTAATCTTTCATATTCCTTTCTACCATTACTCATTCTGTTTCACTCTTATACTTGTCAAAACTCTATTGATTCTCTTCACTCATCTTCTTGTCTACCTTTGTATGCCATTTGGAACGTGGCAACTCGAACTGCTGCACTTTGGTGCCAAGTTCTATGTTGAATCCAGACAGACAGACAGTCTTCGCATTATGTCAATAGTGGTCAATCATTCGCTGTTGTGTGTGTATTGAAGTATTGTGGATGAATGAAGTGGTTCTTTTAAACTAAGTTCTTCTTGGTAGCTATTTTTTTGCAATGCTTTATTGACTAAGCATAGCTCAATGTTTGGATAAATATTCCTAATTGGTGAAGATACAATCACATAGTTGAATACACACACATCAGACAAATGGAAAAATGAAATTCCGATTTTACCAATTTACATTACAATTAGATTGTTACTTAACAACTTAATTACATTAAAATGTAATTAGGATGAGGGAGACTCAAATTATGTAGAATTACCTGATAGCGTTGATTATACCAGTCGACTAATAGTAACAAACGATTCGATAAGCGTTCAGCTTCCTCTTTAGTCCAATTGTATGTGTACATTTCAATAAGACGTCCGTTTATATTGATAAGGCAGAAACTCTGTCGAGGAATATGTACACTCGTCTTACACTTTTCTCGAGTTAGCGGAGAATTCTGATTTAAGCATTCATTTGAATTGGAACGATCGTTCTGAGATAGATTAGTGATAACACTAGCTTCAGCTGAAGGATGTCGAGTGACCTGTCGAACCATTCCAATTTTAACAGGACAAAACTCCGGAAATTTCGATACTGAAATCCATTAAAAATAAGTAATAAGTTAGTGTTAAACTTAAATAACCAATAGATTGGTTATCACCAATATATACTATAAAACACAAACTGTAAGGTGTTTAGAAACTACACAATGAGATTTTTAATATACTAAGACAATTTGATTAAGCAAGTATTCTTTAAGGTGATTGAAGTCACTATATGTGTACTGCTCTGATTACATTATATGCTTTGATTTTCAGCCTATAGCAATTAAGCAACTGCTTTAACTATAGTACAGCCTTTTTGGTTCGTGCTAATGCCTACCAATAATCAGCCACATTTCCAAAGCAGTGAGAATGGTCAACTTCTCAGTTAACACGGGAGAAGAGATTGTCATTGAAACATGCAGTAGTCAACACATAACATAAGCAGATGAAGTTACAGTTCTCCCCAAGTGCAACTCGTATATTATTTGTAGCAACTTAGGACTGCATTTTAGGTCCCAATCCATCTACCCAGGTTTTGAAAGCCAACTAGTTGCAAAGCTTCGTCGAATGAAATGGCTATGACATGGGCTACGCAAACCAATCTATTTATTACCTTGTATCCTGAGCAATGCTAACTGAAGTAAGATTAGATAAGAAAATCAGATAAGTATGGTCAGATTATAGAACATGACACTAATCTATAAAGCATTCAAACTGTTGACCTGGAACAAATGCATAGGTGTAGGCTGAGGTAATAAGGATGCCCCGAGAATAGACGACTGGAAACTTAGTCACTTGGCTTAAAGTAGTTTACAGAGGTGCACATGTATTCACTCAGATTCTTCAAATCACTGATATTGATTTAATTTTACTGAAACACTCATGTTTGTCTATTGTTGCATCACTACATTGATGTTCTTCTATTATTCGATATATATATATATATATATATATATATGTATATATATATATATATATATATATATATATACTTCTCCTAAATGTGAGAACCAGAATACACGTCGAGTTTTCGGTCTTTAGCTAATTTATCTTTTTCAACTTCAACTGTTATACTTTGCACTGGCATTCAGATAGATTCAGTGAAAGACGAGTAACGAACTCTAACTTCTGAGATGAAGCAAATAGGTGTAAATATATCAAAACGACCCACACTCTTGCATATTACAGCTGTCAAACCATTGACGAATATGTTGAAAGTATGGATTTATGACAAAAATAAGCAAATCCCTGTTTCAAACGAGCAGTAAAATTATCATATTAGATAGTTGGAGGCAATCGGCCACAGGAAGCCTTGCTTGACCTAGGTTTCGTGCTAGTTGGCACTCACCAGTCAGCAAGGCGTATCTGCAGCCTTGAAGGAACTCATGTCCCTTCTGAGATTCGAACCCGCGTCACCCAGTGCCACCTTCAATCAGAGACGTTATCACTGAGCTATTCGGGCTCGCAATTGACCTCCTGTAGGACTGCAGTGGGTATTTTGATTGGACACTAGTTACAAGCGTAGAATGAAAAAAAAGAATACAAATGTAATCCACTGAGCCTACCCAGAGATCCAAAGCTATAGGAGTTATCAGTAGGACTGCAGTGAGAATCAGATTGTTGAACTGAACGCCGTTTACCGTCGTTGCCAGGAGAAAAACGTGTTTCGTATACACACGTTTCATCGTTACGATTGGTCCTTTTCAAATTTATATTAGGGTCATTGCTGACTGAAACAGATGAATACTGATTTGATGAAATGTTGACTTTCAGTGGTTGCATTCGTGAAGATGCGTCATATTGGGTACCTGATAAATAGAGAAGAAATTGATAAATCACAATCCTTCTACAAAGAATACTACTATTACTTATGCGAAAGCATTTTTAAACTACAAAGTTTACAGGATAACAGGCTTCTTCTAAGCATTTGGTGCAAACACTTAGTTCTCAAGATAGTGGAAAATATTAGGCCGTCTATATTCAATAAACTTAGGACAAGCCTGCAACCTGTTGAACTTCGTAAAATTGTCTTTCGGGACATCAGGCATGAAGCTGCTCATGTGAAGGGATATTAGAGACTGTTGGAAAAAGATAAAAATGCTTACGAGGATTACTGACAAAACTTGTACTTCACATCTGCATACGATGTCTCATCTTGAGTAACTGACAGTATTGATCACCTCTTACAGTTTTATCCAGATAGACACCTGTTCCTGGAAAGCATTACATTCGAACATAAGAGAAACTGTCTTACGTGGAGACCGTTAGCAACACACTAGTTAAGGACACAAACAGTTATTGGGGAGGATTGGTGGAAGATTGCCGCTCCTTATGGAGCACCTATGTGAACTGTGATTAGTCTATGCACGTTTATGCCTTTGGTTGAACAGACGTCAAGATATCTGATGAGAGCATAAGGCCTGTATTTAGCGACGAAATAACTAAACGCCTGTTTCAGCATAACAGCAATTATCATCCTGAAGAGGTCTGGAACCACACCCAGTCTGTCGTAGACACAAGAGTGATAACTAAAGTTTCAGGTGGGATATGGAAATCAGAGATAGTTTCATCATACTGGTCTAGATTGTTGATCGTTTCAGTTTATACGAAAGGAAACAAATCCACCCGTGTTAAACAGCTTGACTAACATAGCACTTTTCCATTCGGAACTCAAGGAAAATAATAACAAATGATAGATCACATAGTACCTAGGATTTAAGATTCCATAGTCCTGGGAAAACTTAGTTTGGCTTGGAAAAAACAAACTCAAGACAACTAGGCTGGCTGAATTAGTCATAGTTTTACACATGGGCAGATTCTGGAAAATAGAAATCTAACTTTATTGACCTCAACGTTGCATCTATCGAGAGGTGCTAGGAAGCTGTAGCTCACTGGTCTAGACGCTTGACTGCCAACCACTGGGTTACAGGGCCGAACTCCGCCTCACATACTGAAATTTAGGTAGCCAAGTAGTAACACTGGCCCTCACACAATAGCTGTGGTTAATAGCCAAGTGCATGGAATTGTAAAAGGTTATTCATTGGTTGATTTGATTTGATTGACCTTAAATTATGCATCCTTATAAGAAACTATGGGGAGTTGTCATCTGAAGTGATGACGACCACTGATGTTCAATATCAATATTCTTACTTGATTTTTTACTGATGGATATCAACTTGATCGACTTCAACGTCTCACAAATTGATTTGCTATCAGGAGAAAAAAGCTTCGTTGACCTAGAGTGTGCAGATGATATAGCCATGTGGAAATACCAACCAAATACAGAGACTTCTAAACATTTTCAGTAAAAAATTCAAACATTTTGCATACCTTTCACTCTTCAAATTTAAGATGTCACTGCAGGACTAATGTGCATCAACTTCTACTTTAAAGACAGGGAGTGAAGTAGTCGGATGTGTTAACAGCTTCACTCATTCGGCAAGCCACATTAATCATTATGGACTGTTTTCAGATGAAATCTTAGTACAGATACAAAAAGATAGGCATCTCTCAAACTGGGTCATTTTTGATGCGTAATTCACATCCAGTTATCCATCGAAAGAATTATGCAGAGCACAGCAGTTTGCTCCATTTTTCTTTGTGTCAGTGGAACATGACCGTTGAGAGTGGAAGATATGAAGATACTACCAGTTATCAACCATAGAGGTTTTAGTTCAATCCCATGCATTAAGTGAAGCGATATGGTAAGGGAGGAGTCGATCGATGAGGTGATGAAGTGCCATTTATTGCAATGACTATATGTGTTACTTACGCTAAGCTACCACCTTCCTCGATAATCACTTTCAGCTGAAGTAGGATTTAGTTGGACGAAAACACAACACAGGGAGGCGTAGACTAACTTAGGTCCTAGGGATGTTAAGCATCACTGACTGGATATGTATAATAATATTGTTTACAATGGCACTTGTATGACTGTGAATAAAACATAACGTCTGAAATGTTATCTAGTAAATAATGCTGTTTCACTGTGTCTTACATCCCATAAACAAATTAATAGGGGGTTACAGCATCGGTGACACAGCGGTTAGGACTCTCGCCGACCATGCACGTGGTCCGGGGTTCGACCCCCTGGCGACGCACACCTAATATCTATGATCGGCCTGCAAAATTTGAGCTACCGATATCACATGCTGAAAATTCCATACCTGTGCCAAAAATACTGTGTGGTTTCAAGCTATAATTAAAAATACATACTACCACTTTGTCCAAGTTTTACGTATATGATACAGAAGTTACATTCAGTACCTATTATCTTCAAGATTCCAAAAAATTATTACTAATTCTCTTGCATCTTGTCATAGTAGCTACACTACATTTCGTTTTTTATATTTGTTTCTCTGATATGCGACTACTTAAACTGATTCATTTTTGTGCAAAGTTCTAGGTCGATAAGTTTGTCGAAAAAAGAAAATATGTGAAAATAAAAATCGTAACAATATCAAAGCCGTTATACTAGGATGCTCATAGGCCAACTGATTCCAGTCAGTAAAGTGAAACAAGAGAAAAGTATGCTGTTTAAAAAATCACCGACCGTTTGCTCCTAGTTGCCATTTACTTTTTATACACACGCACACACCATCCTGTTTGCTTATTACGCGACTTTCCGGTATGATGACGCTCGTACAGTACAGCTTTGAACGAAAAGTTGTACGCTAGAATTCATTTCAGTACAACACGAAAATCAACAGAACTTACGAGATAATAATAACAATAACAATAGTTTGAAAACAATAAATACCATGTTAAAGTTAGCGAAAATCAAAAAAAACGTACCAGAATCAGATATAAACTCAATAAGTCGGATTCCTGACGTCTGATTGAATGTTTGAGGAAAATTAGGAAGTTTACATTCTTGTCCGGTTTGAGGTGGTCTACAGATTTTTCTCCAAGCATTTAGATTGTAGCCGACTATGATATATTTGCTGGCGAGACCAGGCTTCGATACCTCTACATTCTCTCCAAATTTTGTGTCGTGTTTAACACTAGAATTTGCAGATACTTCAGGCCAATTGACTATTCCATTTGAAACATTAGAAGAACAACTGATGTCTAACGAAGGACTTAATTTTCTGTAATTGTTTGATGAACCATCTAATATCAAAGCTTCGTCATGAGATATAAATGGCTTTAAAAGATCCGAAACAAACTGTTCAACGAACAAAGATGAGGAGAGATTAGCAAACACGGTACTTATGAGAGGTGATTCAATGGCTCTTCCTTCTTTCATCCACGGCAAGATAAGTGGATTCACAGATGCATCCTTACCGGTCATATATTTAGATCCTGAATCTAAAACCACTAAGTCATTATTTTTCATTTCATGGAGAGTCTTTGAAGAGCCAATAACGCTACTGTATTCTGAATCGAAGAATATTGGTGAGGTTAAAACAAGATATTCTGTCATTAGATCATAAAGAGCATGATGAACAGAAGCCATCAGACGCATTTTCAAGTTATCAAGATCAGAATGTCCCCGTTCCCACATACGAACTGACAGAACAAGTCGGGGAAGTGGCTGAATAAGACCAAGCCGATTTTGTAGATCAGATTCACTAACTTCACAGAAATCTTTGATGGCTTCCAACATATCCTGGAAACATAAATTGCAGGTTTTATTGGTGGTTAAGAACTTGTCTGGTGAAGCCCAATCCAAAATAACATAAGGTTCGAGGGGACTATGAGTTAGATGGGGTGCTTTATCACTAGAAACCATCATAAGCTGAAACAATACAGTTGCAACGCCATGTTTTGAGAAACCCTGAGCACTTGGACGATTAAAGAGGAAAAGTTCAGCCTTGCCTAACCCCTTTAAAAGCGCTTTTGTATCACGATCCAGTTTCACTGGAGTTAGGAACAGGAGAAGATTTTGTCGGAAATAATGACAGAAAGCAAGAACTGTTTGACTAGGTTTGTATGGGACTGTAATTCCAAAAAAGCTTTGATCATTATCAGTCAAGAACTTTGGTAAAGAGATAAAAAAATGAAGATGAGGTTGTTCAGGCCGTCTATTGAGCAGGAACATAAAATCTTCCATTGTAAGGCGATTAATGGCATTTCTAGAAAGGCTATCAGATATTTGTTGCAGAACCAGTCCATCCAACCTAGATTGCAGCATATGGTGAACAGAAGCACAAAGGTTCCTACTAGGCGGACTTATACCATGAAGAGTTATTTGCAGATAATTTTCTCCAACATGGCTGTTGTGATCGTAAGTTATTTTTGAAGTGGACGTAAATCGAATCCCTTTATGAGTACTCTTTACACTTTGTTCTGAGCTACCGAAGTACGCTGAAGTGGAGATGTCTGAGCAAACATGCCTGGATTTACTTGTTTTATTGACTAACTTGAACTCCGATGGTTTTTTAAATTCTTTTAGAGTTGCTTGTTTATCTAAAAGACTTGGTTGGTGTTCAGATAAAAACGCTGTGGTTGTAACTTCTTTTAGTAACATATAAAATACAGGTTGTTGTGAGTATTCTGTGACAGAGTATACTGACTGAAAATCCGAATCACAATAAGCATGCTTTCTTTTTTTGGTAGAAATTGAACTAGAATCCGCTTTGGGTGGATGATCAATAAGAAAAAACATATTAGAACGATTTGTTATAGCTAAATTTTCTAGAAGTTGACGAAGAGCTGGAATAATTCGCCTACCTTTCTCAACAGGATAAATTTGAGAGTTGAGAAAGACACGAGGATGCAAGCGAATGTAACTGGTCATTTGTACTGGACAAGCGAATATACCGGATGACCACCTTACATGGTGGTTGAGTGATTTTAGCTGATCACACGAATTTACAGGATACTGTATAACGTTGTACGCAGTGGTAGATTTCATTCGATCACATTTTCCAACGTTGCTAGGTATATTTGAGTAATTCTTTAACTTTTTCTCACCGAGTGTCAGTTTCTGTTTCTCCACTAAAGGTATGTAGCGCGTGAAAGGACGAGCACGACGTTTGCTTCGAATTTTCCATCCGTAGGAGTTAGTCAATTCAACAGACCCATTTCGCATGACAGCTGCATTACAATCATAAAAATTACTGGAGTCACACTTTACAACTACATCAGATTCATCAGCTGGTAGCAAAAGGTCATCACATAAGCGTTCATCACAAAGTTTTGCTAACAAAAGCTTCTGGTTTAGCATTCGAATAAGGGAGTGAATAGAATTTACTACATTTTGATAAATATTACAGTAATCACATTCCACTGGCAATTTATCTGCAGAAATTTCATATAGTTTTTGCTCCGAAGTTAAGGAGGTAGGTATGGCGAAAGACTCATTATGAAAACTGCTGACGTGTGAATCCGTATGATGAAAGAAAATACTAACTGAGTTCGAAGAAATCCGAAAAATAAACCAAAACGGCAAAAAATTGTTAATTGACTGCACTCGCTCGTGTAACACAGGTGAATCCAAACATTTTTCCAAAGCATTTGCTCGCGAAAGACTCACACTAGGTCTCATACAATTATTTTTAAAAACGTTCTCAGAATATTCTCCAGTATGATGTGATCCGTTAGCGGGGAAAGAATGTGATCGACGTAGTAAATTAGTATTCTTCTTCACTGAATATGAAGAACTTCTCTTTCTTTTCATCGACCACCTATTAACTATATTTACAACACCTTGATGGTCATGAGTTTTGCTTTTTTGAGATTGGAAACGTGTTTCAGTTGGTGAAGTAAATGCAGTCGACACGTTAGCCGAAGAAAAGTTGTGAAAAGAAAAATATTTGTTCACGGTAGCAACTGAAGCCTGTAAGCCAAACTTGGGATTATTAGAACAAGACAAAAGATCACCTTTTTCACCTTCACAAATATTAATATAACGGCTTTCTGAAATATTTCCACAACCACCATTAAAGTTTGACAAATAATAGTACCCATTGACATAATAAGGGCGGCCGTACGAATGTGAAACAAGCATACTCTCGAAATACTTAGTAAACTGATCAACTACTTCAGTATCGTCCAAAACAAAATCTAACCGTATCCGCTGCATAACAACCTCTTTCTTAAGATTACGAAAGTTTTGCACGACTGCGCACTGCCGCTGGAACACACATGACTTTTCATACTCAGCATTTGGTTTCAAGTTTTCTTCCTCAGTGGAGGACATACAGGAATGATTAACTAAAATATTACTGGGATTAAAAAGTGGAGTGTTCATTGCTTTACAAGTATCCTCAATGTGCCGAAGAATTATTTCAAGTGATTGTTCTGTTATTGGAGTGAGTGAACGTAAACAATTTACCAAACTATCGTGCAACTGCCACAACATTTGGAAAACGAATAAGCGAAGAAAACATTGTTGTTTAGATGGGATTTTTGAGATATCACTTTGTTTTAACCAATCATCGATGGTAACGCATTCTTCTTCCATGGTAGAATAGGCTGTATTAATAAAGTGACTTTTAGACACCACATAGTTTTGAGGCATGTCTGCAGGATCCATATAAATATTATAGGTGAAATTTGCCAGATATCCCATTTGAGTTTCCTTGACACTTTTTTCATGTAACTTTCTATAAACATCTGTGTCTTGAAACGTACGTAACAGAGAAAAATCATAGTGAGAGTTGATGATAGGTTGGATTTCTACATAAAAATTCAGTTGTCCAAGATCGATCGTCAGAACAGAGTTACTATCTGTGGATGACAAATGCATATCATTTTTAGAAGCACTCCTCAAGATGAGTTGAGATAAAGTTTCACGAAAGTGAGCAGCACAGAAAACGGGTAATCCGTCATATAAAGGTACAACACAAGACATCCCCCTGTAATTTAAAACTCCACGAAGGCGTAAGAACAAAGGACATATATCAGACGTATTTCCCGACACCAAATGAAACCAGTCTACTAATTTTCGTACCAGTAAATCAGAAGATTGAGAAACAGAATGACATCTATCAAAAGAAGAAACAGTCTTTTGTGACTTCAGATTTCTGGAGTCCCACACAGCATCACTTTCAGCACTGGCTTCTGCAAACATTTTACATGTTGCAGAACTAGTGCATGAGACAGAAGGAGCAATTTGACTTTTGATTTCCTCAGATTTAACTGTGTTGATTATTTTGCTAGACGATTCCGGCACTGACTGACTGATGTGAAGTCGCGATGTCTGACTATCCCGATCCACTTGTTTCGGCTTTGATAACACGTAGACACCATCTAGATTTGGTACAGGAATGAGGTATTCACAAAATGTACTATAGAGACAGTTCTTCTGAACCTTACAACAGTCACAGTTTTCTGAAGAAGATATGGAGAAGTTAACAACTAAGTCTTCAGGATCCAAGATAAGTAGTGGGGGCATCAGCTGCTTTCGTTTTTCATGCCCCAAAGTAGGCACGAATTTAATATTGGTACATTCCTCTACATAATTATTACTTTTCTGATGTATCAGTTGTACGTATGTGAAAAGATGAGAACAATTATATAATGTAAACGATGTAATGTCTAAAGTTAATGGTAGTAATGGAAAATAATCTTGGGAATGTTTAAGCATATATTTAACGTCTTTAACATCTGCAACACAACCGGCTTCTAAAATCCGATAGATCGAAACACTGTATGCATAACTGTGTGAGTGCTCTAAGAGTTTAAAAGCAAACATCAGATCTGACCATAGTGCTCGCAGCTCTTGGGTCAATCTATGGTTTTGACAACCTACATTTAAAAAGCAATCTGGCACTACACCTGAAAGAAGATTTAATTTGTCCACATTACCACAGTCATGCCTATCCGACATAAGTAAACCTTGATTATTTGAGCACATATTAATGATGTGAGTATCTGGAGCTTTATATGTCCATTTATCATCTATTAGATAAGACATATAGACACGAGAACAAACATACATGAAAACCGGCAAACAAGGGAGAGATGGTTGACTCACTTCTAAGCTTTTTAGTTGACTATTTATCACACTGAAGAAAATAGGATGAAAAGCATCTTTCAACGTTGACGGCACAAGAATTATGATAACCATTGGATTAGGTTCATCAAAAACATTTGAATTAGTTTGTTGCTTCAACAGCCCTCGACCAACAAAACAGCGTAAATTAGGGAACTCCACTTCGGAGTTATCTCGAGATCCAGATTTTACGTCATAGCCCCATTGGGAAAATATGTCTTTCACCTCACTCATAGGAACTGGGATTTCCATCAATGAACCGGACTTCATGAGACGTAAGTGCAGGCTCGATATTAAGTTTTCATTATGAAGGATACTCAAGTGACTAGATGAGAACTTTTTGTTCGTGATCTGTCCCAACAAAGGTAGTAAAACAATCAGATTAGGACTCATAGGTAGAAGCTTGGATATGCTGCTGTACGCTAAGCGGATTTCTGGGGAGGGTTCTACTGAAAAACATGTCTCTTTACTGTTTAGTGCTGCCGTCGCATGTGAAACATTATAAGTCTTTGACTTTTTTGATACAAGACTATATATATTGTCCAATGTTGCATATGGGATTATACATCCTTCATCTTCATTGAAAATAATCCGAGGTAACTTGGTAAACGTAGATTTCAACCAGTGCTTTGCTTCCAAATGAGTGGAGCTGACAGTACCACTGACAGGTTGGATCCATATCTCTGAGACAATAATGATAGGTGAAAATACGGAATTTTCTATATTTGTGATGGGATGGTTGTCAAATAAGTTTAACGCGCCAGAAACTACAGCATCAACTTGAGTCCTTAGAGGGGTGTCTAGTATGGTCAAATGTCCTAATTCATGCGCTTGAAACCTTATATTTCTGGGATCAACAATTGGATAAACTTGATATTGCACTAAACAAGGAGTTTTGGATTGGGAATTTGGAGTTTGCTGCATTTCCACTTCAGTGAAGAGCGATACAAAACCAGGTTGTGGTCCAACACGAGCTAAATGAAATCCTTCTTGTAACCGGATATTCACAAAACTTGAAAACATCGAGTGTATACATGACTTGGAAGTTGTTGAAAATACTGCCCAAACACACACAGAGTGGTGCAGATGTTGTGCTAACAGCAAAGAACTGATGGTTGGATGAGTTACAAGACTGCTTCTTAGAAATAGGAGCCGATTGCGTTTACATATTTTCATTAAACGCTCACTTTCTTGAGCAGATGTGATATTGACAGAATGTTTCCTATCAGTAGAAACGTAACCTGATTTTCTCACGGCTTGATTACAAAAAGTGCCTGAATCTATAGCCAAACGATCAAGTCTTGTTTGGAAGATTGTGCAGCATGGCGTATCTTCCCAGGATCGCTGCAAAGGCGGGACATGTTTAAATTCATTTACGTGTTGAAAAGTACCCGATTTGTGTCTAGATTTTGGAATTGCCTGACGCCCTCTAGGTGGAAAGCGTAATAGCACTAGCTGCATTTTAAGATACTCCACAATGTCACGCTGAATTCCAGTGGGCGTATCACTGACAAAACCAATGATAAATCTTACTTCAGGAATCCTGAGTTCTAGGCGTATCACACAAAAGTGAGAGACAGATGAGGCAGAAACTCCCGAACAGGTCTTATCATTATCAGTATCACAATCACCTGCTTTTGTTGAATCCACAGACTCCTGTGTAGTTAAGGGAACTGAAGACACTGAAGACAAGGAATTAGACTGATGCATATGTCGTTCTACAAGAAAGTCCCTAACATGAAACAACTTAACATAAGTACTATTTTCAAGCAAAACAAAACTTGACCACTGTGACAACAGCGCATGCACTCGGAAAAGAGCTTGACGGCAAGATAATGGAGAAGTGTCACGCTTTTCTGAAAGAGGGAAATGTAGATTAGAAGGCAATGAGTCGTGTTCCAAAAGCACAAAGATATGATGTAGACTCATCCAGCGATAACACTGAAGAAGATCTATATCGATAAAAAATCTCCAATAGTCAATGAAACGTTGAAAAGATAAGGAATCACGGTTACTGGCTGGTTGATGCTCAGTTAGTGTGGGTGCTGCTAATAAGTCTCCCTGATGGTTGTTTTTTACGACAAACACTGGATATAAACGACTGGAAAATGCATTTGGAATTTGTCGAACAGCTGAATTTTTGTTGAACTCATAAACATGTACTAGTAGTATATCATTCAAGGCAGTCATTTGAACAGGCAACGGAAGGTGGGAAAACTTTGATGGCAGTACTAGGTTGTTATTGTTTAATGAATGTCGATTAACAAACTCCTGAATAAACGAATAGTTAGCTTCAATTTTTAATTCCACCCATGACTTTTCTACGGCAGAACGTGAGGCAGAACAACGGATCGGCACGGCATCTTCTCTACTTTCTGCAGAAAATTCCGCTGTACCTCTTGCTAGATAAGAGTGGGGAAACGGCGTCCATTCTCCAACTATAGAACAGTGAAAAATTGTACTCACTCCCCATACCATTTCAAGGTCCAACTTAACTATTTCAGCCATGCAGTCAATTGATGCTTTTTCCTTGTCAGTAAGTGGAACGCTGGCATCTACCTGATCATTCTTGACACAAACAGATGTCTTTTCTTTCGCTATCAAAGGGTTCTTCGATGGAACGTATTTCCTAGACAAAGATGCAGTCTTCAAACGAAATCCGCTTTTTAACCTTGTCATTAACATAGTGTGCGTAGGCAGTTCAACTAACTTTGAGCTTGCTTTGACTGTCACTCTTGGGCCACAGATAAAATCATTGTTACTTGCGTCAAATTCACCATGATGTATGATAGGAATGGCTAGTAGTGATTCTGTTAATTCCTTCGGTCTTAAGTGAGCTCCTATGTCGCGTGACTCATTTGGAACATTTACAACAAAACCGCTTGTATTTCGGGCTAAAAGATTACACAGCTCAACTTGCTGTATACCAGCGGACATGAAAGAAGATTGCTTAAATACATCATATGAAATAGGTAGTTTGAGTGTGCGAGAAGTGATATTATCAGCTATTAAAATAAAAACACATCGAACACGTTCTAAGTTTAAGTGGGACATGACTAGTTCAGGAACTCCAAAATCAGAAGTCGAAAAACAGCCATCTGTCAAAAATATGATAGTAGCTGGAGCTGAATTAGGGGCAAGCAATGAAACAGATAAAGTCCCATGGCGTAGCAAATCTGACAGCGATACATGCTGATTTCGATCGGAAAAATGCTTATGTTCGTTCCTCATGTTTTCCAGAAACTTACGCTCAAGTTTAAAAACCGAACGAGAAATATGTGCAATTTTGTTCAGAATATCTGCAGGATCCAACACCCAACCAGAAATTAATGTATAGCACTGAGAGTGAGGTACGACAACAATCACAGAGATGTAAATTGTAACATCAGAAATTTTGTATCCAGTGCCAGGGAATGAATAGCAGCTAGATTCACTAAGAATGTGAAGAAGTTGTTTAATTGTCCCGAGAATACCATTTATGTAGCATGTACCATCAACACTTGAACACAATGCAGACCAGCTAAAATCAATGACGAGGCAGAATCTGTAGGAACGATGCAAGCAAAATAAGTCCGTTTTCTTTGAAAACCGAAGGATTACGTCATCAAAAGGAGCACCAGTTGCACAAAAGGCGACTAACTGAAATGGATAATTTTCAATGTCTTTGGGAGCTTCCATAACGTATGAGATAGAATTAAGTTTTTTGTCAAAAACGAAAGGAGAATTCAAATAATCAATATACCATGTGATAAGTGCTTCAGGTGATATTATTTCATTTTTAGAATAACAAGCATATAAACGCTGTATCAAAACGCTATTATCATCCATAAAGTCCGACATTTTTAACTTGTTAATTTTTTTAGCCAGAGGGATTTAGTAGTTTCCTCACTCTTGGTAAATGTCAATATGTAAATAAAAAATATCATACCAATAACTACATTGTACCGACGTTTTTGAAACGTGCACGCCTAAAGGTCATAACCGATATTCAATATCCTATTTATGCGGTAGTGATAACGAAATCAATTTCTCCATGCTTCTCATAGGCAACAACTGTGCTAGTCTTATCCTCCCTGCAGATAGTGGACTGGAAGAACTGACACCACTTCTTGAAGTGGGTTCCGACAGTTGGTGACATGATGTCAGAAACAGTGGTCCATTGCAATAAGACTTTCCCCTGGATTTTTAACTGTACTGCTTTTCCTCATGAACATTCTACCAGTTTTAAAGGATAATGAGGGGAAAGTTAGGTCTGTAGTCATTTCTTAGAATTTAGAATATCGTGGTAAAATCTCTCTGATTTTAGTATGATTATGAGAAGAAATTCAGACTGTTGATTCATCCTTTATATGACAGATGGGCCATTCCATTAGTCATATGTATGTGCGTCCATTAGTCTGCTATAGGCCATGCTTAACAGACTAGATGGAATCTTTTAGTTGTGCCCTTAATAGAGATGAGTATAAATTGGTGACAGGTTCACTGATTATTCTAGTGAATTCATGTAAATTTCCACTTAAGGTGAGGAGACAGTGGAAGCAAGTAATTCAGAGGAGAGATTGTTCTCGAGGAATTTATTATCAAGCTGTGCAACGATGTGTGAACACGTTTTCTGAAGTGACAACACCGATCCCGACGAAATATTTTTAGTCATAATCATAGTTAAACATCAGGAGATATTCAAATGGGTTGTTCATTATTATGTAAAAAAGTTCGTCAAATGTGTAAGTCTTAGAAAGGAATTAACAAGATTAGTTGGCAGACAAAATATTGTCTAGCGAGGTGCGAATTTTCTTAAGATAACGTCGCAAATTTTTAATTGAATTACAAAACTTAGGCAACAATTCAGGTAACAGCGAAAACTGTACATATTGAAAAAAGTAACGCCGGCAGAACTGATATAGGGTGAATATAGACAATAATTAAACAAAACGAAAAAATAAGACTTAGGTGAAATGGGAAGTGTTTTAATTTAGTACAAATGAACTAAGACCTGCAATGAGGCGGTGTTACGACAGATTTCTTCCGTGAACATAGCTCTGAAACACTCGTGAACGACAAATATGGACACAAGTGATGAAACGAAGCTGTACAGAAATCATTGAGACGCCACAAACAGGAGGATTTTAGGTGCACTCTATAATTTTCACATGAAACACATTCTCAAGCATCCTCCTGCACCATAACTGCCTTCAGGCCTAGAGGCAGCTTTTGACGACTATTCTTAACAAAATCAATACAGTTCAAGCCAAACAGAAACCAGAATCACGTCAAATGCAGCTACCTAGATCAAACGAAACAAATCAGCAAACTGAAATCAACTAAAGTGAGCTACTAAAGGGATATGCCTTATCAACGCCCAAATGGTTTCCTTTCACCTTGTTGCTTGGTGTTCTGTTTACCTACTAATCTTATTAATTCTAGATTCCTTTCTAAGACTTACACATTTCACGAACTTTTTTACATAAAAATGAACAACCCATTTGAATATCTCCTGATGTTTAACTATGATTATGACTAAAAATATTTCGTCGGGATCGGTGTTGTCACTTCAGAAAACGTGTTCACACATCGTTGCACAGCTTGATAATAAATTCTTCGAGAACAGTCTCTTCACTAGACCACCTCTTTACGAATTATAGTAAAGACCATTCCTAGTGGCGTTAAACGTTTATTGTTCGGAGGTTCAAATCGGCTGACGTAGGTTTTAACTCTGAACTACATTTAATTACTTCAGAATACATTTTCCATCACTTCTACGGGCCATCTACCTGTAGTAGCCGTATCTACTGCCAGCAATATGTCACGACTTGCAAGTTAGTAAACGAATTATTCATATGTCCCTTTCTTGCTATTACTGCCATTACACAAATGAATTTTGAAGACAGAAACTCGGGGTCTCCCGGCCAAAATGGAAAACAAAGACAAATCGTTCCAGATAGAATTATATCGACAACAGACTACTGGAGAACTGCAAGATCATTGTTCTTTTGAACAAAATACATCAAATAGACATGATAAAAACCACCAAAAACAAGGTGTGAAAAAAAACGCTCACAGTTTTCAAAAATGTGCCCTCATACCAATGACTCCCTAACAATCTAATTAACAGAGTGCACAGATTGGTACATCAAGTAAAATTTTGTGTCTAAAGGTGCGAAATGAGACGTTACACTGACTAAGATATTAGCCACTTGAAACGTCAATTTGAACGTCCACAACTTGAAGATGCCAGACATATGCAAAACGTCTACACGAAATAAGCTAAGGCATCTCACCTGGTATTTTACGAATTATTGTAATGCGGGAATTCCTCAATCTACTTTATTGACAGTCTTTCCTTTAAACGCAGCTATACTAGACTATTATCAGCCAACTCATGTTGTTCTGCTATTACTCTACCCTTGCGTTACGAGCCGAACATAGGGCTTCAACAACACTTTGTTCTGTTTTCTACCGTCCTCTTTAGATGGGTACACAATTGATCAAACTCTCTCATCTCTTCTTCACACGATCTCCTCCACGTAACCCTAGGACGATCCACTCGTCGCTTCCCATTGGAATTCCACTCGAGTGATGGTCTGAATTGCGCGCGATGTCATTCGACGGTTTCCTCAGGGTATGCCCAATCCACCTACATTTTCTCCTACACATTTGTTGAGCAATAGGCTCTTGATTGGTTTGCTACCAGCCAGTCTCTTGGTGCTTATTCTTTCTGGCCAGTTGGTCACTTGATCTTCAGTATGGAGCCAGTCAATGAAGGTGGCAGCTGTTGATGGAAGTCTGCAACCTGTTGGAAATCCTTTTCGTGACACACAGCGCAAGTTTCTGACCCGTATAGAAGCACTGTCCGACTTCACATTGGTGTTGAAAATGTGAATCTTGTTTCTTATGCTGAGTGCGAGAGATTTCCATACTGGTTTCAGATTGATGAAGGAGTATCTTGCCTTTCCGATTCTGACTTTGACATCTCCGTCCGTTCCGCCTGTAGTTGAAACGATGCCTCCCAAATAAGTGGGGAAGGCAACCTCTGTTAAATCTCTCCCTTTGATGGTGGTTGGTGCTGGTTGTTGCGGTTCGTTGGTATCTTCATCACCTCCTTCTTCTCCATGTTCGCCTGCAGTCCTGTCTTCACCGGCTACTTCTTCAACCAGCTTGTTGTTTTCCGCCTGTAAGTCTTCGAATTTGTGTGACGTATATCATCTACGAATTCTAGATCTAGAGTCTTCTTATCGGTGGTCCAGCGTACTCCTGTCTCCTCGCCCCCCACAGTCTGACGCATAATCCAATCCATGACAATTAGGAATATCATCGGTGATAAAAGTTAGCTCTCTCTCACTCCTGTGTTCACTTCGAACGCCTCACTGAGCTTTCTATTGCGGATCACCTGACATGTGGCATTGTCATATAGCCAGCTATTGAATGAGGTTGACAAAGACTTGAGGTACACAGTAGTGTTGAAGTAATTTCCAAATTACTTCTCGGTCAATGGTGCGCTGTCTGGTGAAGGCCTTTCTGAAGTCGATGAAGTTGAGGTAGATGTTTGACTGTCGTTCTGTGCTTTGTTCGATGATGATGCGTAGAGTTGCAATTTGATCAGCCCATGATTTGACTTTCCGGAATCCAGCTTGTTCCTGTGTGCGGAGTTCTGTAATCAGTTCATCCTTTATTTTTTTCAGGATAGTGCGAACTATTATTTTACTCGGCATGGACAAGGGCATTATCCCGCACCAGTTCTTGCACTATCCCAAGTCGCTCTTCTTTGGCAGTTTGATGAAGTATCCTTTCTTCCAACCAGTAGGCACCTTTCCTTCTTTTCAAACTGTGAATTAATGGAGTGAGAACATCTGTCGAAGTCTGTGGTTCTGTTTTCGGTGTTTCGGGTGGAGGGAGAATTACGTGTGGTCCTGCGGCCTTCCCGACTAGACTTAAGTAGTTTGACCTCATTCAGGATTTCTGCCTTCGTTGGACGATTGATGACCACTGGCAGAAAGCTCTGTCCGTGTTGTTGGCGGTATTTCTGGACGAGCTGCCGCTGGTGGTAGATTCAAGAGTCCTTTAAAGTGATCGGCCAATTGTTTCATATGTTTCTTCCCCATTGTGATCAGGTTCCCTTGAGCGTGTTCATTGGCTTCATCGACCGGGTTGATCTCTTCCCGGATAGAGACTTGGTTATCTCATATACTGTCCTGATGTCTCTTTTACTCGCGGCCTGCCTGTTCTGCTTCAGTTGCCAGCCAGTTGGTCGTGAAATTGTCTTTTGTTTCTCCTAGCACTCCTCTTCATTCCTTCATTCACTGCAGTTTACACTGAACTCAGCCTCTTCTTCTCTTGTCCATCTTTGCATTGAGTCACCTCTCTCGCCATCCTCCTCAACTCGATTAGCTTCCTGGTATGTGTCGGTTTAGAGTCATTCCTTGTCTTTTCTCTTCCTTCTTCATGGAACAGCTGTACACGTTTCCTTAAATATCGCTTTGAGAGAGTCCCAACGTACTTCTACACACGTTAACTCAGTGATGCCTAGTGGTGTCTCCGACTTTGCTCTGATCTAGTCCGTAGTAAAGGCGTCCCTTGAAGTTTTGTCTTTCACTTTCTGAGTTTTGTATTTGAATTGTGGCCTGCCTAAAGTTGTTTTGAGCGATTTCATCTTCACCTTGAAAGCTGCTTGAACTAGATGATGGTCTGAGCCCGCATTTGCTCTCCTTCTCAACTTTTTATCCAGCAGATTGGCTGCGTCTCCACTTACTTGAGCAGCATTGAGACGATGTCCGTCAGACGAAATCCGTGTTGGTTTGTGGATATCCTTGTCTTTGGACACGCTCCCCTCGATCACCAAATCT